ACCCCAATTCCCGGGATGTACCCCAATTCCCGGGATGCACCCCAATCCCCGGGATGTACCCCAATTCCCGGGGATGCACCCCAATTCCCGGGGATGTACCCCAATTCCCGGGGATGTACCCCAATTCCCGGGATGTACCCCAATTCCCGGGATGTACCCCAATTCCCGGGGATGCACCCCAATCCCCAGGGATGTACCCCAATTCCCGGGATGCACCCCAATTCCCGGGATGTACCCCAATTCCCGGGATGTACCCCAATCCCCAGGGATGCACCCCAATTCCCGGGATGCACCCCAATTCCCGGGATGTACCCCAATTCCCGGGGATGCACCCCAATTCCCGGGGATGTACCCTAGTTCCAGGGGATGCACCCCAATCCCCAGGGATGAACCCCAACCCCCCGGGATGAACCCCAATTCTTGGGGGTTAACCCAAATTACTGGGGATGCCCCCCAATTCCCGGGGTGATGCCCCCCAATTCCCGGGGTGATGCCCCCAATTCCCGGGGTGAGTCCCCCCAGTTCCCGGGGTGACCCCCCCCAATTCCCGGGGTGACCCCCCCCAATTCCCGGGGTGATGCCCCCCAATTCCCGGGGTGATGCCCCCAATTCCCGGGGTGATGCACCCCAATTCCCGGGGTGAGCCCCCCCAGTTCCCGGGGTGACCCCCCCCAATTCCCGGGGTGACCCCCCCCAATTCCCGGGGTGATGTTTTCCCGTTCCCGGGGTGACCCTCCCCAATTCCCGGGGTGATGCACCCCAATTCCCGGGGTGACCCCCCCCAATTCCCGGGGTGACCCCCCCCAATTCCCGGGGTGACCCTCCCCAATTCCCGGGGTGATGTTTTCCCGTTCCCGGGGTGACCCCCCCCAATTCCCGGGGTGATGCCCCCCAATTCCCGGGGTGACCCTCCCCAATTCCCGGGGTGATGTTTTCCCGTTCCCGGGGTGACCCCCCCATCCCTGCCGGTCCCGGGCTCCCAGCCCAGCCCTGGGCCCGGCCCCGTCACCTGCCCCGAACCTGCCAGGGGACACCCCCCCGGGACAGCGGCACCCCGAGAGCCCCGGGCCTGCCCTGGCACACGGGGGTGGCACAGGGGGTGGCACAGGGACACGGGTGTGGCACAGGGGGTGTGGCACAGGGACACGGGGGTGGCACGGGGACCTGGGTGTGGCACACGGAGTGTGGCACAGGGATATGGGTGTGGCACAGGGACACGGGTGTGGCACAGGGATAGTGGTGTGGCACACAGGTGTGGCACAGGGACACGGGTGTGGCACAGGCACATGGGTGTGACACAGGGGGTGTGGCACAGGGACACGTGTGGCACGGGAACATGGGTATGGCACAGGGACACGGGTGTGACATGGGGACACGGGTGTGTGGCACACAGGTGTGGCACAGGGACACAGGTGTGGCACAGAGACATGAGTGTGGCACACAGGTGTGGCACGGGGACACGGGTATGGCACATGGGGGTGTGCACAGGGACACAGGGGTGGCACGGGAACACAGGTGTGGCACAGGGACAAGGATGTGGCACGGGAACACGGGTGTGGCACACGGGCACACAGAAAGTGAAAAACCCCGCCGGCCCCCACACCCCAGCGCCGTGCCTCAGTTTCCCTTCCCGCCCAGCCACGGCGGGAAGGGGCTGAGCCAAGGATGGGCAGAGGAGAATCCCCCCCAGAGCCCCCCGGATTTGGGGACACCCATCTGCACAGGTGGCACTGGGACAGTGGGGCCGTGGCCCCGAGCCCCGTGCCAAGGCTGAGCCCCGCTGCCAGGGCAGGGCTGGGGCGCGGTGCCAGCCCGGGGACACGCGCCGGGGACAGGAGGTGACCGCGGCCAGCCCCGAGTCACCGCTGGCACCGGTGCCAGCCCGGGAGGGGAC